CCAGGACTGGCGGGCAGTCAGTCCCCCGGACCAGGCCCTGTCCGCCAGGCCAGGGAAAGGGCTCTGCAGGACAAGCTCCCAGCATTAGGGGGTAACAGCCACGGCTGCGGTGTTATCCTGGGCCTCCGGCCTCTGGGGTGGCTGTAGGTCCTGCAGGATGGGCAGGAGGAGAGGGGGCCCCTGTGGCTCCAACCAGACCCCAGGGTCTGGGCCGCCCTTGCACCCCAGGGTCTGGGAGGCAGCCAGTGTACCGGGCATCGGGTGCCTCTGCCACCGTGCCCGGCCCAGCGCTCCCAGCTGGGTTACTCTGGGAAAGACAAAGTCTCCAAGCCTCACTTTTCTGTGGTAACAGGAGGACAGAAACCCCCCAGGACTATGGTGAGGATACGGGGGGAGGGGGGCGGACTCCAGGCACCTTCCGAAGGGGCAGGTTTAGCAGCACCTTTAGCGGCTCTGTGGCCGGCACTGGCAGTGTCTCACCTGGAAGGAGAGAACGTTAGGGTTAGTGCGTATCCGTTGCCCTGGGAGGAGACTGACCATGGCAAGCTGGTAGCTGGCGCTGCGCCCCGAGGTGGGTCTGGACACGGCAGAGGCAACTGCTGAGGCGGGCTGGGCATCGGGGAGCCCCACGCCCACGGTTAGCTCAGAGAGGGAAGCCCTGCCCTGGTCGCTTCACATAGCAGGCAAGTGACTTGGCTGTTCAAGCACCTGGTGAGAGGAAGTGATCTCTGCACCCCGGTCCCTCTGGGAGTCGAGATGCGTGGTTAGGATGCAGCAGGAAACGGCCAGGGATGCTCAGTGATGGGATTGGTCAGGTGGGGCAGGAGTAGAAGCAGGGAGAGGAGACGCTGGCTGACGGGCTGGATAAATAGATGCTCCTCTAATGGGGGGGTGGAGGGGGAGATAGATGTTTGGGTAGTTGGATACGCAGGTGGATTTATGGGGGAGTGGACATGGGAAGATTGATGGCTGGGTGGCGGGTGGGGATGGATGGATAGATGGATGGGAGGGTGTGTGGATGGGTAGGTGAATGGTATGTGTGGTGTGGGGATGTTGTGGGGGGGTGGATAGATGAGTGGTTGGATTGGTGGGTGGAAGGGTGAGTGGGTAGATGTTCGAAAGGTGGGAGGAAGGACAGATGAGTGAGTTCATGGATGTGTGGGTGGGTAACTGTATAAAAGGGGCAGTGGACACTAGCAGGTTGTGGAGAAGAGATGGGTGCAGGGATGGATGGATGGATGGATGGGTGGATGGATGGATGGAATAGAAGGTACATGAGGGGATGAGAACTCAGTCTCTTGCTTCTTCTCCCTCCCCGCAGAGGCCTTCAGCAGAGATGAGGTCTAAGCCATTGACAAACATGACTATCTGCCCTCACCAGGCTGCCCCTGCCATCGGCACAGCCATTCCAGGCTGGTTGCCTTGAGAAGCCATGCCTCCCCACCCTCCCACCTCCCGCCCGAGACCCTGCCAGGGCTGTGCTGAGAAATCTTTTCTCACCCCGTGGGAAGAGACCCATGAATGGGCTGTTGAGAGCAGACATCCACCAGTTTGGGTCTTTGGAGCAGAAATAATTCATTCAGGACATTTTTCAACCCTTCCCTTGGGATACAATTAAGTGTGCTGAGTGGTGTGAGCTGGAACCAGGGTTCCCCAGCCCCCCGACCCCACACAGGCCCCGGCCAGGGCCCCCAGTGTCTTCATGACCCCAGGTTGTCCATCCCAGAAAGCTCTCACCCCAAGTAAGGGCCTCTCGGCGCTGGCTCCCCCGTCCTGGTTGCTGCAGGTGGACTTTGGGCTGATGCCCCCCGGCCCTGGCATGGGCAGGGGCTCATCTCAGAAGGGAGCAGGTGGGCTCCACTCCTTCCTTGACGGGAAAGGGCCCTTGGGACTCAGGGAAGGGACCTGGGTCAGACCACCGAGCCCAGATAGAGGCCCGGGAACCACAGCGGCGTGACCTCGGCAGGACGCCGCCCCTCTCTGAGCTTCAGTGCTTCGTCAGTAGAACGGGGATGGTGACGGTCCCCACCACACAGCTTCCAGGCCAAGCCCCTGACGTCACGCGCACTTGCTAAATGTGAGCTCTGGTGAGAAAAAAAATTCTATCCCAAATTCAGGCACGTGGGGATTATTTTTAACTTCGTGAAACTTTCTTATGGAGCATTTCAAACATACAAACAGAAGAGTAGCCACGGACTCCTGTGTACCCAGCCTCAGACGCAAGGAGGCCAACGCCGAAGGCGAGGAAGGCGCAGGAGCCCAGGGACGGCCCAAAGCCCTGAGAAGGGAGAGAGCCCCCGGCGCCCTGGCCCACCCACTGGCCTGTGCAAGGAAGCTGCCCTCACTTTCCGACCGGCTCGGACCGCCTGCTGGACTGACCCGCTGCCCCCCCCCGCCCCCTCCCCGAGGGCACAGGGGCCGGAAAGCTGACCGGAGAACAAACTGCCTGGGAGCGCGGGGGTGGAGAGCCCACTGGACATTGGCCCCGGGACGGATCAGGGGGAGGTTCTCAAGACGTTCAGAGAACAGAGGCCTCCTGTCCGGCCGGAGACCGGCTCTAACCACGAAACACACTGTTCAGGGGAACTCGGATGACCTCTGCACTTGAACTCAACTGTGTGCCTGGAACAGGTGGCTCTGTGGGCACGGACGGAGAAGATAGACCAGCCTGCGGGCACGCTGTGCGGGGGGGTGCTGCCCCTGCTGGCACGGCCTGGCGTCCCTGCGGGACAAGGAGCACCTGCCATTCCCAGGTGGGGCTTTGCGAGCCTCCAGCTGCAGGGTGTCAAGCCAGCGAGAAAATGAAATATCAGAGAGAAGGGCCGGCCCGTTCCCACTTTCAGAGGCGGCGCTGGAGATCTGGGAAAGAGAACCAGTAGCTGAAGGGCAGCACCCCTGGGAAAATCCTCAGTGAATAGCACCTGGGAAATGGTAACGGCTTGGGATAAATCCTGGTTCAGCAGAAGCCGTTCCGGCTGAACTCTCTGTGTGTAAGGAGGCGTGTGGGCCACCGAACCACAGGCACAGGTTGCAGGCCCGTGGCTCCAAGGAGCAGGGGCTGTGAGGAGGGGCGCTGAGGCCCCTTGGCCAGAGGGTGTGCCCAGAGGGAGAAAGCCTGTGGCAGCAGGGGAGGCCGGGGAGGGGTCAAAGGGGTAGGAGTGCCTGTGTCGGAGGCCCCGTGGTCCACCCTGGAGAAGCCGGCTGCCTGGAAGCAGGCGAAGGCCACGTCCACCCATCAGCAAAGGTGTGTGGGCCCCTCCGGCGAGCCAGGCACTGCCCTTCATGCCGGGGCTGAGCGACTGCACACAAGCAAGGGGAGTGAGGGCCACGTGAGGCCCTTGAGCGAGGCCAGGGCGACCTCAGGGCCTCCGAGACTGCAGGGCTTTGTCCTCGTGAAAGTGTAGACACTAAGGAGGAGGGCAGGGTCAGAGAGCATCCTGAGCAGACGCTGGCGCAAAGTGGCGTGGAGAGAGGGTGGCACCGATGTCAGGGCCACTGAGGAGGCCACTGCAGCCACCGGGCGGGGACCACAGCCTGGACCACGGAGACCTGGAGGAAGATGGAGCGTGGAGAGGGGAGATGCCAGATCAAGGGGGCTGGTGGCAGCACTCGCTCTTGGTGGACGGAGGTGGCCCTGGGCCACGTGGCTCTGGCGATCAGAAGAGAAGCTGCTCGCGTAAACACATGAACACTCAGTGACACTGGACATGAGCCAGCCACCAGGAATGGAGGACGGAGGCCAAGAGGGAGCCGGGAGGAACCCGGCACCCAGTCATGGGACCGAGAGACGAGCAAACATCCCGAGGGGGACACGAGCTGAGAAAGGGCCCCTGGCTTTCAGAGGGAGTCCGGGGTGACAACAGGAGCCCGCGGGGGAGTGGGGGAGTGAGGGTACTCAAAGGCCGGTTGTAGCCGCCCCAGAGGCCACTGGAGAGAGATGGGGCCAGTGGAGGTGTCAGGACTCACAGGCCAGTGACTGTCACCCAGGCTGGCCACGGCTGACTCCCGAACATCTCCCCGGCACTCAGTGACGGCCTGGGGCAGCATGCTGACCACGCTTTGGGCTGTCCTGCTGGCCAGCGGGTGCCTTCTGGGCCTGCCCCCGTGGCTCTGGGCGTGAGGGTTCGGGTTGGTGTTCAGGTTAGGCAGCCTCCTGCCCTGTTCCCTGTGTCCCGTGGGCCCTGCCACAGGCCCCTGTGGCCACTTCGCACAGAGGCACTTCCATCACCTGTCGCCAGAGCTCCGGCACCACCAATGCGGGACCTCAGTGGCCCTCCTGAGCCTCAGAGCCTGGAGCTGTCCAGGCCCCCGGCACGTGTGGCCCGGCACGTAGGTGCCCACCTGAGCAAGGCCACTGGGTGTGTGTCAAAGCAGCATGACTGAACCCACCTGATCTGCAATTACCTGGCGGTGCCCACAATTCACCAGCGTTACCTTCCCAGGCCTCTGGGCCAGGCCCTGCCCACGCACACACCTGTCTGCCCAACACCTTGGTGCTACCCGGAGACCAGGCCCTGCGCCCAATGCCTTCCCTGTCAGCACCTTGGCTCATGGAGGACCGAGTCCCCCTGGGGGGCATGTGCTGACGGGCTAAGGTGCCCACCTGAGCAAGGCCACTGGGTGTGTGTCAAAGCAGCATGACTGAGCCCACCTGATCTGCAATTACCTGGCGGTGCCCACAATTCACCAGCGTTACCTTCCCAGGCCTCTGGGCCAGGCCCTGCCCATGCACACACCTGTCTGCCCGACACCTTCCCTGTCAGCACCTTGGCTCATGGAGGGCCGAGTCCCCCTGGGGGGCGTGTGCTGACAAGCTAGGGACTCTTTTTGTGGGTTACTGACCACGCCCTGGGGAATGTGTGAACATCTGCTTAGTAAACCCAGCCAGCTGACGGCACCTTCCTTGAACATAGGGTCCCTGAGGGGGATTATCAGTTTGCTTTGGGTGAGAGGGTGCACTCAGCACCTTGGCTCATGGAGGGCCGAGTCCCCCTGGGGGGCGTGTGCTGACAAGCTAGGGACTCTTTTTGTGGGTTACTGACCACGCCCTGGGGAATGTGTGAACATCTGCTTAGTAAACCCAGCCAGCTGACGGCACCTTCCTTGAACATAGGGTCCCTGAGGGGGATTATCAGTTTGCTTTGGGTGAGAGGGTGGGTGCCCTGCACCAGCCCAGCGTGGTGCAAAGAGGAACCGTCCCCCAGCTGCCTGGTGAGGGACTCTGTCCGTGCAGTCACTGGTGTCCAGCGCCCAGCCTGGCTCTGAAGACTACGCTGAACGAACGGCCAGCTGCCGGGGCAGGCCCATTCCACACCTCCCTCCGGCCTCCCTCCCTTCCTCTGCTCCCTGGCACTGCCCAGCCCACCTTCCCAGGCAGCTGGGGCCGCGCTGGACCCCGTCCCCTCCCTGTGGTTTGCTCTTCTCAGCTCCCACTGGTAGCCCGGCAGCCTGCTTTCCCACTGGCCTCGACTGTGGCCCCGCCTGCCCCGGGGCTGCTTTAGGACGAGGCAGAGGCGGGCACGCCCAGTAACAGCCGCTCCCCGCCAGCCAGGGCGCCCGCTTCAGACCGTAGAGAGGAGGGGGTGCCGGGCCTGACCCTCCCCACCCACAGGCATGCAGAGCGAGGCTGCACCAGGTCCTGCAGGCTCTGCACCAGAAGCTGGCAGCCCCGGGCCCGCGGCCGGAAAGCCATCTCCTGCAGGACCCAGCCACGGGCCTCCATCCGCAGGGAGCTCCTCGGCGTCTGCAGCGACCCCTACAGGCTGGCCCAGCAGCTGACCCTCGTGGAGCTGGTGAGGAAGCCCGTGCCACCTCGGCCTAGACCCAGAGCGGGACCGACTGAGAGCCACCGGCCACCCCTCGCCCCCTCTCTGGCCCAGGCCCTGTCCCAGCATAACCCAAGCCCTGAGCCCGCCGGGGCAGGGCCAGCCAGGCCTGTCCAGAGGTCCCTGGCTCTGAAGCTGTTCTCAGCAACCCGGGGTGAGAACAGAGGGCTGAGGCTCCAGCCCTGCCCAGCTCTGACCCGTAGCCGGCAGGCGAGTCCTGGCCTGGGACAGAACTGGGTTCAAACCCTGGGTCTGACCCCACCTGCTGTGTGATCCTCGCACAACCAGTGCCTTCTCCACCCGCCTCAGCCTCCCCATCCAGAACTCACTGCACCCGCCCCCACCCGCAGCGTTCCAGAGGAGCCCAGGCCCCCGCGGGGGAGGGGACGCCTCAGCCAAGCCTGCAGTGTGCGGAGTCCTGGCAGATGCAGCAGCCAAGGGGCCCCCCCGGGAGAGGGGCGGTGGGAGGTGTTTCCTGTGATACCTCCACCATGCCCGTCCTTGCTGTTTCCCAGGCGCTGTGCTCGATGCCTACATGCCCTCTCATCTCCTCACCCGCCAGACGGGTGCTATTATTACTCCCTTTTCACAAACCAGGAGGCTGTGATGTGCCAGACGTCACACAGCAGGAGGGCCAGAGCCAGGATCCAATTCTGACCCAAACTCTCAACCACCAGGCCTCCCCTGGAGGGAGCAGGTCCCCAAGTCCCCGATTCCAGCCTGGTTTCCGGGGTGTCACGTCCCACGGGCACTCCCAGGGGCCTTTGCCCCGGGCCCCATGATCAGAGGCAGCCCTGGGCCTGGGGAAGGAGGTCCGCTGGGCTCCGTGACCACCCAGAACGGGGTTGCAGAGCCCTCGTGAGAAGGGCAGGTGCCCAGAGATCCTCCTGGGATCGGCTGGAGGCAGGGAGACTGAGGGAGCTCCATGCCAGGCCTCCAGCGGGCACCCCCTCCCCAGACCTTTCTCAGACTCCTCTTCCTCCCCGTGCAGGCTCGGCTGCGACACATCGGGCCCGAGGAGTTTGTCCAGGCTTTTGTGAACAAGGACCCTCTGGCCAGCACCAAGGTAGAAGGCCCTGGGACGCGCTGTCCCTGCAGTGACCCACTGTCCCCTGTGTGGGGAGGGCGATCCCCCTAACATCAGCCGGGCCAGCTTCCTAGCGACCCGGGACAGGCGACCCCAACCGGGTGCGTTTCGGTGGACGAGGGGTTCCCTCCAGCGGTCACTCTGAGAAGTGCAGGCTGGTGCGCGCTGCCCAGGGAAGCTTCCCCCGGAGGGTGGAGTGGCCCTTGGGCCAAGGGCGCAGGGCGAGGTCCTAACACAGATTTTAGAGCTGCCCCCCCCACCTCTTTCAGAGCCCAACCAGCAGGGGGCCTAGTGCTTACCAATGGGGTCAAATGAAATCTGAACCGGAGACAGTGTGTCTTCCGCCCAGCACCTAATAAAAGAAGTGCAAATTAATTAAATACGCGATTGCATTCCCCGATCAGATTAGCAAAGGTGAACACTGTGCCTGTGTAGGGAGGGAATTCACCCGCGGCTGCTGGGAAAAATCGGCGCAGCCACTTTGGAGGGCGGTGTGGCCATAGCATCAACACTTGAAATGTACACCCTGGACCCCAGCTTTCCACACCTGATAATTTACCCACCAGATATGCTAGTACACACCCATGCACACACAGATGTGCACACGAAGATTTGAGATAAACCGTGTTTATTATGTCCACAGGCTGGAAGCAAACTACCTTATCACCCATAGAAACTGGATTTAAAATGTTAGTGCATCCATTCATTCTATGTATGTTATGCAACTGTTAAAGAGATTAAAAGCGGCTGGCGGTATGGAGTGACCCCAAGATGCATTGGCGAGAGAGGGGAGTGGAGTGAACAGCAGTGACGAAGAGTGTGTGGCTGTTTGTAGCAACAACGAAAGGGAGGGTGTGTGATACGTAGCCACTTGCACAAGCTGTGGAGACGATCATTGTGGAGACGATCTCTAAGAAGACTGTCACTGCGGTCATTGTGTTCTATTGGAAATTTGTCTTTTTCTTAAGGATTTTTATGAGTTTTTGCGTTAATTATCCTTTGTCAACTAGATGTCCTACAAATTTTCCTCACCTGGTGTCAGCCACAGTGATTAGGAAACCCAGCAGGGGTGCGAAGCAGGCGTGGCCACTCTTCGCTGGCTTTTTGTCTCTCAAGCATTATTTGGCCATTTTCAAGCATTTTTTTTTATTGTGAAGTACGTCAAGATCACACGTGACATTTATTTACCCACTCTATTGTAGGTGAACATTTGTGTGGTTTCTGGCCTCCTGCCATGATAGATATTGCTGCCGGGAACATTCTTACACGTTCCTGGTACACAGGGCTGCACATTTTCCTAGGCCATCAGTTCGCAAATGTTTTGGTCTCAGGACAGCTTTCCACTTTAACAAATTATGGAGGACTCCAAAGAACTTTTGGTTATGTTGATTTTTCTGTACTGATATTTATCATTATAATGCCCATCAAATTAGCTATTAAAATTGATAATTTTTTAACTTATTTATTTATTCATAGTAACCCCTATATATTGACATAGTTACCATATTTTATGAAACATAACTATATTTTCCAAAATAAAAAATGAGTGACATTGTTTTATAGCATTTTTACAAATCTCTTTAATGACTGATTTAGAAAACAGCTGAATTCTCTTATCTGGTTCTGTATTCAATCTTTTGACATTATTGGTGGAAAATCTAACCTCCAAAAAGTATGTAGTTGGAAAAGGGAGGGGTATTTATAGCCATCCTATATAATAAAAGGCTCATATGCAAATTGCCCCCTTGGGAGTTTGACCAGTTCAACTGCTCTCTATGATGTGCACTGACCACCAGGGGGTGGCACAGAACGAAGCAAGGCCCCGGCCAGCAGCTGGCAGCTGGGGGAAGGAAGGCCCTGGCCGGCAGCCAGAAGGCCCCAGCCAGGCCTAGGGACCCTACCCATTCATGATTTCATGCACCAGGCCTCTAGTTTTAGATAATTGGGAATGTTCTTTGATGCTACACTGCAACTGGGCGAGTGGTAGTTTTTAAAGATTAGTTGCAATGTGCAATATGAAAACACATCAGTGGACTTTCTGAGCTCTATTACATTAAATCCGTTGGGGTGTCTTGCATCTTGAGTTGCTCCCTTTTGCCCAGGCATGATTTTTGTAACATTATACCTTGGTCATTTGGAAAATATGGCTCCACTGAATCAAGCCGATCTTCCAAACGTTGGCACATTTTATTATACAAGATTTTAAAATCACATTCATTAATAACACTTACTGGTCTCATCTATAATAATAAAAGCATAATATGATCATTAGACCTGACAACCTTCTGGACAAAGCTGGGGTTGCAAGGGAAGCCTGGGTCCCAGGTGACTGCTGGTGGCCAAAGGGAAGCCTGGGTCCTGGGTGCCTGCTGGCGGCAGGAGGGAAGCTCAGGTCTCAGGTGCCAGAGGCAAGCCGGTGCTGGCAGCCGGGGGAAGGAAGGCCTACTCTTGCACAAATTTCGTGTATCAGGCCTCTAGTTAAAAATAAAAAAGTCCTTACCCATGGGAAGCTGTTGAGCCCCCAGAGGTGGGCACGTGTTTTACAAATTCCCAATTTCCTCTTGAAAACTTGAACTTTATCATTGGCCACAAATACTATCAATTGTTCTCGGAAGGGACAGGCTCAATTCATTCATTCTCAAGACACTCTCAGCCAAATACTGACGTCCGAATAACCATATTGGGTCAGTCCCGCTTTCAAGTAAAAGTTGTCCCCTGAGAAAGGTGTCGGCTCTCAGGTCAGTCACGCAGGTCAAAATTTAATAAAATGGAAAAAAGTTTGTCTCCTCGAGGACGTTCTTCAGTCACACTCGCTGCTTTTCTTTCCCTGTGTGAGTAGTAGGGAAGAACACAATGACCGCTGCATCCGGGCTGGGTGGCAGCGATTTGCCCATCATTCTCTGACGCATCACTGGTGTCTACGTGGAAAGACAGTAACATTGTGTAAATAGGAAAATGGTTTTGCCCCTGTGAACCCACAGCACTCTGGGAACTGTTGCCCTAGGACAGTGATGGCGAACCTTTTGAGCTCGGCGTGTCAGCATTTTGAAAAACCCTAACTTAACTCTGGTGCCGTGTCACATATAGAAATTTTTTGATATTTGCAACCATAGTAAAACAAAGATTTATATTTTTGATATTTATTTTATATATTTAAATGCCATTTAACAAAGAAAAATCAACCAAAAAAATGAGTTCGCGTGTCACCTCTGACACGTGTGTCATAGGTTCGCCATCACTGGCCTAGGATATACCTAGGAGAGAAGTACTGCCTCCCTCACAGGTGGGCACGTGGCCAGCCTTCCAGGGTGGTGCCAGGTGAGGCTGTACCCATTGGCCCTGCCAGCAGGGAGCTATTCTTGCTCTGCATCCTCACCGATACTTGAAATTGTCAGATTTCTTAATTTTTGTCAAACTGTTAAATGGACCATCTTTTCGTGGGTTTTGGACATTCTTGTTTTCTCTCCTGTGAATGCTTATCTCTAACTTTCATCCAGTTTTCTATTGGGGATTTGTCTTTTTCTTAAGGATTTTTACGAGTTTTTGCGTTAGATAAGTATCCTTTGTCAACTCGATGTTGACAAATTTTCCTCTCCTAGTTAGTGGCCTTGTGTTCATTTTCATTATTATGTCTTCTGATCAGTGTGTGTTCTTAACTAAAACCTAGTGAATTTACTAAACTTTTCCTTTATGGTTTCTGGAGAGTTTCTTCAGATACATTCCCAGAAGTGGAATTGCTGGGTCATAAGGCAGCTCCATTTTTAATATTTTGAGGAGCCTCCATTCTGTTTCCCAATCTGCAGTCCAACAGCACTCCACATCCTGTCACCACTTGTTGTTTGTTGTTTTGTTGATGGTAGCCATCCTGACAGGTGTGAGGTGATATCTCACTGTGGTTTTAATTTGCATTTCTCTGATGATTAGTGATGTTGAGCCTCTTTTCATATGTCTAATGGCCATCGGTATGTCCTCTTCTTTACTGTTTTGTAATTTATATTTTTCCAGGAATTTGACCGTTCCTCCCAAGTTTTCACTTTATAGACAGTTATTCAGAATCTTCTCTATCTTTTTAATTTTTTTATCTGATTTTTTTGCCTTCATATTTTGAAGCTGTGCTGTTAGGTGCAGAAAAGTTTAGACACGTGACATATTCTCGATAACTTGAACCTTTTATCATTATACAACTACCCTTTAATCTCTTCTACTGCTTTTCGCCTTGGAGTTTGTTTTATCTAATATTAACACATCACTGTGGTGTTTATCATATCTGTTTTTCTATATTTTTACTTATCTCCTTAGGTTTGGGGTGTGTCTTTTGAAACTAGCATGTACCTGGGTTTTGCATTGTAGTGATTGTGATTACTGCTGTGTGGGGGGTCTGTGCTTACTGTCTGCTCGCCTGCCTTTGGTGGCTCCCGTACCTTTCCTGTCCCTGTTTTTCTCCTTTCTTTGCTTTCTTGGATAAGTCCCCCATTCCCCCCTCCCCCTATTTACTGAAAGTCACCTCTCAATTTTAAAGTCTATATTTAAGTGTAATTTTTAAAATTGTGGTGTATTTATACAGTGGAATGTTCTACATCAATTGAAAACATTCCAAAGGATAGTGTATGGTACATGAAAGGTTCACGTGGAAAAATATGGAAATATATATAGTTACACAGCAAAAGGAAGATACAGTCGATTTTCATTATTCATGGTAGTTATGTCCTACAAACTTGTCGGGAACTCTGCATCAGCAAACACCCATTGCTCCTAAGGGAAACGCAGGGTTAGGTTCCTTGCGAGCCTCTCATCCCAACATTTTCATCAACCAATCAACAAAGAGCCTTATTTTATGTGCGTTTCTGTTTAAAGACATCTTCTTCAATAACTATTGTTCATTCAATGACATTGAGCTCATTGCCAGCAGCACTATGACTCATGCCTGAAAGAAAGCGCATCTCACGCCTACGTTCCCTTCGGGCACCACAGGCTTCCTGCTTAGGGAGGCAAGACAGCCCGGCAGCACTGCGCTGGGCACAGGAAGCGTGAAATCTCCGTGACAACCCATAGACGGCAGGAAGGACACGTGTCAGCACGGGGCGGAAGCAAGAAGGCCAGGCATCATTTCGCTTAACCCCAGCATGTGTTGGGTGACTCCAATATTTTGCCACTCTGCACACGTCCATGAGTGAGAGGGAAAGTGAGGCGCTGGGGGTTACAAATGAATTTTTAGGGAGTAGGTAGAGTCACAAATACAGAATCTGTGAATAATGAGGATCGACGATTACATATTATATTGATATATATCATGTTACACTACATCTCTACGTGCATTGGAACAAGACTAGAAGATGAACATCAGATCATTGGTGTTTGTGGATGGTTTTGAGGTTCCGACATTTTCCAAATTGTCTATCATGATCCTGAACTGACTTCATGTTCCAAAAATCATTGACAAAAAGATTGAGTGCAGTCCTTTCATCTCTCCTAGCCCTGTTTCGGTGGTAAGACCAGGAACCTGGAGGCTTACGTGAAATGGTTCAACAGGTTGTGCTACCTCGTGGCCACTGAGGTCTGCATGGTGCGTAGAACCCGGGACGGAGCGGGCGTGGCAGAGGCGCGCAGGCGGGAGGAGCTCGCCTGGGAGGTGCCAGAAGGGCTTCTTGAGCCATCTGTCCCCAAGCCCGGCCAGGCTGGCCACCCTCCGGACACCAGCTGCCACCGGGCTTGCCTGCAGTGACATTTCCCTTTGGGCAGAGCCAGCACGGACCCTCCCGCCTCTCGCAGAGGGTGCCAGGGGCGGCCTGCCTCCACGGTGCCTGCCTGCTGGGCGCGGGCCTGCCGCGCGTTGTGTTTGGCTCCCTCAGATTTCAAGGTAGAAATGGCCCAGCCTTTAAGAGCGAGGAGACTGCACGCTCCAAGTCCAGTCTCTGGCTTCTCCGGGGAAGCAGGCAGACCCGGCCGGTCTAAACCGACATGCATGTCAGCAAGAGGCATCCATCCAGCCAGGCGGCTCTTCCTCACTGCAGAGGCCCCCCTCTGGCCACCCCGCATCAGGGGAGCCCAGGCCACTCGTTACCGGGAAGGACTACAGGCGGCACGTGTGCCCGGGTGGGCTCTCCAGCACCAGATGCTGCGACAGAGCTCGGGGTGCAAGGGGCTTATGGGGGCGAATGCCTGTGGCAGGCGAAGAGGACGAGGCCTGGCCAGAAGGAAACGATGTCCTGTGACGCCTCTGCAGTGGGAGTGTCCTGTCCCAGGGCCCCCTCGCTCGGCCGCCAGCACAGTCACCTGGTCCCTGAGGGACGGGGCAGGCCCGGAGGCAGGGCTGTCTGAGGGGTTCGGGCGGCTCGTCTCTGCAGACACAGCGCACTGCTGGGGGCAGCAGGCCCAGGCCAGTGTTATCTGCGGGAAGAGCACAGGCGGGGCCTGGAGTGTCCCTGGCAGCGGGCATTGGGTTTACCTGAGTGGAGTCGGCGTGTGGTCCGGGGCCGGGTGTGGTCTGGCTGGGGAGACCAGCCTGATGCTGGGAGGAAGGAGGAGCGAGCGTGCTTTCTGCTTCTGGAGGGTGTGGCGCTGGCCTGGGAAAAGGGCCTCCCTTGCTGGAAGTGGCCCCCTGAGCCCTCGCTGGCAGTGGCCTGCGCTGCGCTGCTGAGCCCTGAGCCTGAGGCCGCAGATGGCCCAGATCACACATCCCAGCCCGCAGGAGGGACTGGCCGGTGGGCAGGGTGGGTGGTCACGGTAGGACGGGGACCCGTCATTGCTGAGGCTCGGGTGCTGTCCCCAGCTGTCCAAGAAGAAGCGGAGGGCCCAGGTGATCGAGTTCTTCATCGACGTGGCCTGCGAGTGCTTCAACATTGGCAACTTCAACTCCCTCATGGCCATCGTCTGTGAGTAGCTGGCCTGAGCCCAGCACCCGGGCAGGCGGGCGTGGGCACCGGGGCAGGCAGGCTTCGAGCCAGGGATCTCCTCTGAGCAGAGAGTGAGTGCCAGCTGGGCCCGCATCCCCACCACACAGGTCCAGGTGGGCTCAGCCTCCTCAGGGTGCTTGGCGAAGGTGTGGCAGTCTGTCCCCGGGTCCAGGGAGAGCAGGGCCCAGTGTGGGGCCGGTGTGCGGAGGACTGGGATGGGGCCTGCACATGCAGAAGCCAGGTCGCCCCAACACACCTACTGCTGCCTGGCGGCCAAGGCTGCTGCAGACCTCAGCCCAGGTCAGGCTGCAGCCGCAGAGGCTGGGCAGGGGCCCACACAGAAGCCCTCCGCCCGGGCAGTGATGGGACTGCAGCCGGGGCAGCCTCCCAGCTCGGCCTTCCTCTGCAGCTGGCATGAACATGAGCCCCGTGTCCAGGCTGAAGAAGACCTGGGCCAAAGTGAAGACAGCCAAGCTTTTCATCCTGGAGGTAAGCATAGTGTTGGCAGCCGGGGGACGCCGGCCTTCCCCAGGGACAGTGCCCAGCTTCGTCCCTGTTTCCTTCCAGCACCAGATGGATCCAACCGGGAATTTCTGCAACTACAGGACAGCCCTGCGAGGGGCCGCCCACCGCTCCCTGACCGCCCACAGCAGCCAGGAGAAGGTAGGTCAGAGGCTTGCCTGGTCTTCAAGGCTCCTGCCTGCGTTAGACACCTTGGTCCAGGTGGGCTGCATCAGAGAACTTGGACGCTCACCCCCAGGTCACCTGGTCCACCCCCCGCACGTCTATGGCTGTGTAACAGACATGCTGCCCATCTCCAGGTCTCCAGTACGGGGAGCTCACCACCTTCCCAAACAGATCAGCCCACTCCACGGGCCTCAGTTTCCCCGTCTGCCCTGCCCAGCTGAGCCATCCATGCTCTGTGCTGTGCAGAGCGGTCAGCGCCCAGGTCCTCACCTCAATGCTTAGTTGACTCAAATGGGGCGGAAGTGGGGGTGGGCTCAGCACTCCCTGAACCAGAAACATCAAGGCCTGGTGTCTGGTCCCCAGGGTGACGGGCTGGCCTGGCAGCAGGCGCCCAGCTCTGGCCCCGAGGGCGGAGCCTCTGTGCTCACATCTGGGGCTGCGCACACAAGCAGGCAGCTTCGGACAGAGCCTGTCCTCCTGCAGGGCTGAAGCCTTATCAGGGCGCCAGGGCTGCCTCCCTCCGGAGGCCCCAGGGATCCTTCCAGCGTTGGTGGCCTCGGGGCTCCTTGGCTAGTGGCCACATTGCTCCCATTGCTGCCTCCGCCTTCCCATGGCCACCTTCCCTGTGTGTGTCCAAAGTCCCCTCTTTACAAGGACATCAGTCCCTGGAATAGACCCCGCATAGCCAGTGTGACCTCACCTTAACCTGATTCCATCTTAAGAGACTCGCTCCAAACAAGGTCCCACCAGGATATGGGACCCCAACGTGTCTTTGGGGGGACACAGTTTGAAGCAGGACACAGGGTAGAGCCGGCTGCTTCTCCAGGGTGGTCTGAGCCGTGAGCAGGGGTCTCTAGGGGTCGGCAGAGCAGGGAGGGAGAAGCACAGCGCACGGCATGGCAGTGAGGCAGGGGCCCCGCAGGCTGAGCTTGGCAGCCCCACCGTCAGCAACTGAGGCCATGCCTTTGGCCTCACCATAGCACAGCGAGTTCAGATCTTCAGCATCAAGAAGGACATACAAGGACAAGCTGTTAAGTACTGTATGTGTTTAAAAGGAGGCCACAGATGACCCCCAGGCCCTATGGATTGACTCTGTGCTCAGCGTGCTCCGTCCGTCCCCGCAGCAGGAGGTGGAGGAAATGTTCCAGGGCCACCATCCACAGTAGGAGCTCAGTCAGCACGGGGCCTGGGAGGAAACCGTTTGGCCTCAGGGAAAGAGACCTGTACCCCCTTTCTTTGTGGTTTCCACGTTGCCCCCCTGGTGCATACTAAGTAGCCTGGACCCCATGCAGCCCCAAGCTGGCAGCTGTGCCCAGGAAGTCTCTCCTGCCCTCTCTAGCCTGAGCATGCACCGAGGTCCCGGGCTGGGGTGCCGGCAAGGGCTGACCTACCCTGTCCCTTCCAGATCGTCATTCCCTTCTTCAGCCTGCTCGTCAAAGACATCTACTTCCTCAACGAGGGCTGTGCCAACCGCCTCCCCAACGGACACGTCAACTTTGAGGTAGGGTCCAGGGCCCAGGGGTCAGACGGGATGGAACAGCTCCGCCAGCAGGAGTGCTGGCCTGACCACCGCTCACCACAATGTCAGGGCAGGGGCACTGGGGTCTCCCCACCCACATCCTCCGCAGGAAACTGAGGCTCACGCAGGGTTGATTCCCACACTGCAGGCCTCAGCCCAGCACGTGTGAGGCAGAATTCGTTCCGGCTCTTGAAGAGCACCTGGCTGACAACTGGCGAGGTGCTGACAGGGGCACAGGGGCGCAGTGCAGGGGCCCGGGGAGGCCCCCAAAGGAGGGGCCCTGAGCAACAGGAAGAAGTAGGTGGAGGGCAGAATGGGCACAAGGGACGTTCACCACGGTCAGCTCAAGTGTCCTCTCCTCCAGGAGGCCCCTGACCTCCCAGGCAGAGGGAGACCCTGCAGAATAGGCGGGGCCGGTCCCGCAAGCAGGGGCAGTCCAGGCTGGAGGTGTCATGGCGGAGGCTGGGCTTGAGAGAGGCCACAGGGGCCCGGGGGTCTGGGAGCTCCCTCTTCAGGCTACCCCGGCACCCACCAGGTATGGGAACCCTGTCTTTTGCCTTCTTGAGTTGGTCTTCAGAACAAGGCTGACAGGCAAGAGCAAGCCTGCAAGCTGCTTGCGGGGCCCAGATTCAGGGTGGAAACCGCGGGGGTGGAGTCGGCCCAGGGCTGATCACAGGAGGCCAGGAATGGGGCTCCCACCCAGTCATGACTTGGCGCTATTTATTTAAAATCCTTCTTTAAGAAAGCACATATTTTTCTAGTTAAATAAACGCATTTAAATTTCACTTTAAAAAATTCTACGTCAATGAATTTTCTTGGTTTATTTAAATACATTTATTTAAATTTATTTGCATATCCTATATAATAAAAGGCTAATATGCAAATTGTCCCCTTGACCAGGAGTTCAACTGGGAGTTTGATGAGGGGGCGGAGCCTGCTCACCAACTGCCCGCGGCCCCTCCCCTGGCCGGCCCAGCCCGATAGGCCTCTATCGATCAGGGCCGGCCAGCCGGACCCCACCTATGCATGAATTTGTGCACCAGGCCTCTAGTTCTTTAAATAAACAAACTTTCCATAAGTAGGGATAGCCACATCTATAATAATAAAAGCGTAATATACTAATTAGACCAGATGAAGCTGGTGCTGCGAGGGAAGCCTGGGTCCGGGTGCCAGAGGGAAGCCAGTGCCGGCCCCCAGGGGAAGGAAGGCCTACACTTGCACAAATTTCGTGCATCGGGCCTCTAGTAAATAAATAGAATGAAACTAAAGTGATGCTCACCTCTAGCTAGAGGCACTGGCTACTAAGGGCCGTAGCCTAGGCCCCAGGGGCTGGGGAGTCCTAGGTGTCAGGTGTGGCTGATTCCTCAGAGGGGATGAAGAGCAGTGATGAACACCCAGGTTTTCTGATGCTGGCGATGTCATTTATCGCCTTGAGTTTCAACTTGCTCACCCAGAGGTGATGAGAGAAGTCTTGCCAACCCCACTCTCCCAGGGAATGTCGAGCCCTGGGAGTGGAGTGCTACCATCCTGTGTCTCTGTGACCCTGGCAGAAATTTCTGGAGCTGGCCAAGCAGGTTGGAGAGTTCATCACATGGAAACAAGTGGAGTGTCCCTTCGAGCAAGAACCCAGCATCACCCACTACCTGTGCACTGCCCCGTCTTCAGTGAGGACGGTAAGGTGCCCCTGGCCTCACTCACTGCTGGGCCATGGGACTCTTATTTGGCCTCTTAGTCGCATTGCCAGTCAGGGCCCCAGCTTTGAGCACAACACACCATGCCCATGTTTGCTGGCTCTGGGAGGGAGCAGAGAAGGCAGCCCCCCCACCCCACCCACCCGCTGCCTGGCTGCCTCCCCCAGAGCCTGCACAGCTGCAGGTTGGGTCCCCCAGGCCCAGGCTTCCCCCTGGAGAGCGTTTGGAATTGTAAACCTGTCTTACCCCACTTCCTCTTCAGAAAAGTGGGGGCGATGGTAAGAACCGCCTTCCCAGAGCTCATGTTTCGATCTTTCCAGAGCTGGTGTGAGCGTGCGTTGTATGTTGGGTAACCCTGGGCAGGTCCCTCGCCTTTTTTGAGCCTGCTATGCTGCATCTAGAAAGTGGGGGAATGAGAGAGCCTACTTCCCAACGCCAAGTGAGATTTACTTGAGTCGGCACAGCAAAGCCCATAGGACTACACTCAACACTAGTTGTATTAGTTGCTATTGGTGCTGAAACAAATCACCACAAACGGGGTGACTCAAAACAACACAAATCGATCCTCTTACAGCACTGAGAAAGGCATGACACTTTACCTATAAGGGGGAAACAATCCAAATGGCATCAGATTCCTCATGGGAAACCCTAGTGGCCAGAGGCAATGGCACGTTTTTTAACTGCTGAAAGAAAACAAATATCAATCCAGAATTCTATATTCAGTGAAATTATCTTTCAGGAATTCACTATAGATAAAACAAAATTGAATTTTAAAAAACTGTTCAGGTAACCCATAGGAAGACAAAAAATAAAACAGAAACAAAACACAGAGAGAACAAACAAAAAAATAATTAATAAATAAAATAGCAGACTCAAGCTCTAACACATCAATAATTATACTAAATATAAATGGTCTAAATATACCAAGTAAAAGACATTGGCAGAGTAAATTAAGAAGCATGACCTGCCCTGGCCACTGTGATTTCAGTTGGTTGGAGCATCGTCCCATGAACCAGAAGGTCATGGGTTGCATTCCAGGTCAGGGCACATACCTAGATTGCAGGTTTGATCCCCAGTCAGGGTGCATACAAGAGGCAACCAATAGATGTTTCTCTTTCATCTCTCTCTCTCTCCCCCTCCCACCTTTCTTCTCTTTCTCCCTTCCTCCCTCTCTTCCTCCCTCTCTAAAATAAAATTTAAAAAATTTTAAATCATGACCCAACTATATGCTGCCTATAAGCAGCTAACTTCAAATATAATAATACAGACAGGTTAAAAAGTTAAAAATGGGGCCCTGGCCAGGTGGCTTAGTTGGTTATAGTGTCATCCCATACACCAACATGTTCCTGGTTTGATTCTTGGTCAGGGCACATACCTAGGTTACAGGTTCAATCCCCAGTCAGGGTGCATACAGGAGGCAACCAACCAATAGATATTTCTCTCTCATATCAATGTTTCTCTCTCTCTTCCTCTCTCTCTAAAAATCAATTTAAAAAAATATCCTCGGGTAAAGATTAACAAAAAAGAAAAGTTAAAATAGGGAAACATTAATCAAATGAAAGCAGGAATCACAACATTAATATCAGATAAAGTACACTTCAGAGGAAAGAAAATTTCCAGAGATAGAGAAGGACTTTATGTAATAACTAGTGGCCCCATGCACGAAATTCGTGCACATTAAAAGGGAATTAATTAGAGGACATATTTTAATATCGCTATTTGCTCTTTCTCTATAATAGAAGTGTCAGAGATGAAAGAAAATTAGTAAAATGTATATGAAAATCTCCCTCCTGTCAGAGTCTGGGGCGCGCCTTGAGACCCAGAGTCAAGTCCCCGCCCACCCGCATATGCCTCGAAATCGCGCGAGACCCAGACCTGGCCGGCCCCACCCCTGTCAAGCCCTGCAGGGCGGGGGGCACAGCCTCAGATCCCCCGGCCTGGCGCCAGGGCAGAGGGCATGGCCTCAGGTCCCCCAGCCCCAGTGCGAGGGCGCGAGGGCATGATGACAATTTGCATATTAGCTCTTTATTATATAGGATAAGAGGGTCAATCTTCCAAGAAGACATAGCAATCCTACGTATGTATCCACCAAACAATAGAGTTGCAAAAGTTATGAAGCAAAAACTGGTAGAACTGAAAAAGATATAAACAGATCCACAATTATAGTTGGAGACTTCAATACGCCTCTCTCAACAATTGGTAGAACAACTAGACAGAAAATCAGCAAAGACATAGAATAGTTCACCAATGCTGTCAAATAACAGGATCTACATTTATAGATACTCCCTACAGCTCCGCATTTACAAAGTACACTTTTTTCAATTGCCCACAGGATATATGCCAAAATAGGCCATATCCTGAGCAGAAAACGAGCAGCAAGAAATTAAAACCATTGAAATCACACCGAGTTTGTTCTCTGATCACATTGGAGTTGAACTAGAAATCAGTAATGTAAGATAACAGGGAAATCTCCAAACACTTAGAGTCTAAGCAGCACACTTCTAAATGCATTAAAAAAGAAGTTCCCAGGGAAATAAAAATAATTGAGGAAATTGATTTTGTAATTTCAAAACACCCAAAAATGAAGTCACTAAGCCCACATGGTTACACTAGAGAATTCTATTACACATTTAAAGAGGAATTAATACCATTCTACACAACCTCTTTTAAAAAATAGAAGAGGGAACTTCTTAATTCATTTCATGAAGCCAGTGTTACCCTGATACCAAAACAAGACAGAGAGTATTAAAAACAACAATAAAGACCAATATTCCTCATGAATTCAGATGCAACAATTCCTTAGCAAAATATTCACAAATAGAACTTGGCAATTTATAAAAATAATTATAATCATGACCAAGTCGGTTATTCCAGAGATGCAAGGCTGTTTAATATTTGAAAATAAAAAAGAAAATCAATAACTGTAATCCACTATATTAACAGACTAATGGAGAAAATCACCTGATTATATCAATCTATGCAGAAAAAGCATTTCACAAATTTTAATACCCATGCCTGCACAAAACTCTCAGAAAAATAAGAGTAAAAGGAAATTGATCTCTTTTGAGATCAATTGAATTGAAAGACTCAACATAGCAAAGACACTAATTCGCCTACTCAAATTTAAGTGCAGGTTTAATGCAATTCCTACCAAAATCCCAGAAAGATTTCTTTTTTGTAGTTATAAACAAGTTTATTCTGAAATTTATATGGAGCAACAAAGGAACTAGAATAGCTGAAATAATTTTGGGGGGATAAAATAGGATGGAAGGGATCACTCTACCTAATATATTAAGGCCAATATTACATGGCCACAGTAATAGCGACAGTGTGGTGTTGATAAATTGCATCTACAGAACGCTTTCAGCTAACATCATATTTAATTGTGAAGGACTGAATGCTTCTCACTAAGATCTGTAACAGGCAAGGATATCTTCTCTCACCACTATTATTCAACATAGTAATGGAAAACCTAGTCTGTGCAATAAGGCAAGAAAAGGAAATACAGAAACAGTATGGTGATTGGCAAAGGCAAAGGGAGGTGGGGGAGGTAGAAGAGGTTAAAGGGGGGATAATGGTGATGGAAGGAGACTTGACTTGGAGTGATGGACACACAATACCACATACAGATGATATATTATAGAATTGTACACATGAAATCTATGTAATTTTTTGAAAATATATTTTTATTGATTTCAGAGAAGAAGGGAGAGAAAGAGAGAAATAGAAACATCAATGATGAGAGAGAACCATTGGTCGGCTGCCTCCTGCACGCCCCCTACTGGGGATGAGCCCACAACCTGGGCATGTGCCCTTGTCCAGAATCGAACCCAGGACCCTCCAGTCCACAGGCCAATGCTCTATCCACTGAGCCAAACCAGCTAGGGCATAACCTATATAATTTTATTAACCAATATCACCTCAGTAAAATAAATTAAAAATAATTTTTAAAAAGAAATACAGTTCAGAAAGGAAGAATTAATACTATCCCTATTTGCATTTATAAAAAATTCCAAGGAATCTACAAAAACTTCTAGTGAGTTAACAAAAGTTGCAGAATACAGGATAAAAATGCAAAAATCTACTCTTTCCTACATGCTGACAATGAATATGAAGACAGCAAAATTAAAGTTATCATGCCAAAAAAAGATATAATGCCATTTATAATTGTTCAAAAAAATGAAGTAGAAGTTAATCTAACAAAACATGTACAAGATTTGTATTCTAAAAACTACATAATGCTGATGAAAGAAATCAGAGAAGATTTGAAAATGGAGAAACATGATGTTCATGAATTGAAAGAGTCAACATAGCAAAGGCACTAATTCTCCTCCTCAAATTTAAGTACAGGTTTAATGCAATTCCTACCAAAATCCCAGCAAGATTTCTTTTTTATAGTTATAAATAAGTTTATTCTAAAATTTATAAGGAGCAACAAAGGAACTAGAATAGTTGAAATAATGTTGGGGAGATAAAATAAGGTGGAAGGAATCACTCTACCCAATATTAAGGCCGCAGTAATAGAGACAGTGTGGTGTTGGCAGGACATATGTCCATGGGACAGAACAGGGATCCCAGAAATAGACCCACAAAAACATGCCCAATGACTTGGACATTTGGACATCCATAGGCCCCAAAATGAACCTTGACCTAAATCTTAGTCTTTATGCAAAAAATAATAACAAAAGAATCACAGACTCAAATGTAAAACTATAAAAAACACACAACAGAAAATCTTTTAAGATGTAGAACTAAACAAAGAGTTTCTTATAAAACAAAATATGACTCAGCAATTCCACTCTTGGACGTTTCTTCCAGAGAAATAAACACTCACATTCACACAAAAACCCATACACCGATGTTTACAGCAGCTTAGTTTGTTATAGCCGAACATTGGAAATAACCCAGAGGCCCTTCAGGAGTGAACGGTTAAACAACGGTTAGTCCATCCACACTATGAAATGCTATTTGGCATCAAGAAGTAAAGTATTGATACACTACCTCATGGACAAATCTCCAGAGAATTCTGCTGAGTGAAAAATGACTCCATTTATGTAATATTCTTGAAATGGCAAAATTTAGATATGGAGAACAGATCAGTGGTTGCCAGGGGTTAAGAAAAGGGTGGAAATGGAAGAGAAGTGGGTGTGGCCACTGAGGGGCAACATGAGGGGTCCTAGAGGTGATGCATGCTCCGCGTTTGACTGTAACAGGGTCAATATCCCAGTGGCTGCCCGTCCTACAGTTTTGCAAGTGACTGCCATTCAGAGAAACGTGGTAAAGGTACACAGATCTCTCTGTGTCATTTCTTACAACTGCATGTGAATCTACAATTATCTCCCAGCCACAAGTTTAATTTTAAAACCAAAAAGTAGGTCAGACTCTGAGTGTAGAACAGGTTATTATCATCAACCATAATTGTGTGATTTCACTCCATTTTCTGACTAGGTCTTTATTTGGCTTCCTATGAAAATGAGAGCCCAGAGAACCACACAGAGAAAGAGAGATGGAAATCTCTAAGGTGAGTCCGTGTGCCTGGATGAGATGGGGGGTGGGGGAGGGGTGGAAATCTCTAAGGCAGCGGTTCTCAACCTGTGGGTCGCGACCCCTTTGGGGGTCGAACGACCCTTTCACAGGGATCGCCTAAGACCATCGGAAAACACATATATAATCACATATTGTTTTTGTGATTAATCACTATGCTTTAATTATGTTGAGAAGGTCACACCTGGAGGGAAAGAAAAATAACCACGGGCCTCGGGCTGCTTAAATCCATAGGTCTTCTATTTTGGGGAAGACGTGAGGCTCGGGGAGCTGGAGAAGGAGGAGGAGGAGAGACTGCAGACGCCCTCTGCAGCCCTGCCCAGGCTGGCCCGGGGCCAGGGGAGGCCTGGCTGCCTCACCGCTTTGCACACGGTGACCCCATGGTCTGGTACCCGCCACAGTGACCACAAGGCTCCGGTGGCTCTGTCCGTCCTCGGGGAGAACCCAGCTCACTAGTGTCTCAAGCCCTGGAGGTGTCTGCCACCAGGTGCCTGGGAGCCTTCACAGCCCCAGCAGGCTGTGAGGGGCCAGAGCCCACAGGGCCCTGCCGTTCTGCAGAAGGCCCTACCCTGCCTGAGATGGGCTGGTTTCTGCAGCCCCATGGACCCCCTTTCTGGATCTTTCTGGTCCCAGGGGATTAGCTTTCTAGTGATAGCTGGGATGCCAGTCAGCAGGACAAATGCGAGTCAGAGATGACAACGTGTACAGCACACTGTAAACTACAGCGTTGGCGTAAACACATCGGTATACCGTGCGTATCCAGGCCCACATCGGTCTCTCACCGCGGGCTTCTGCCAGGGCGCAGGCCTGGGAATGGCATGGCCTTGGGGCAGAGGGGGTGTGGTAGCCATTTCCACCCCATAGACCCCAAACCATGCTGACAGGACCTGGGGCATAGTACGTGCTTGGAAGACCTCGGGTGGACAGATTGTGACAGCCCTGCAAGGACCTGTGGTCCCAGCCTCCTCTTCTAGGCAGTCCTTGGGGCCCACCCCACCCCAAGAGATGCCTCTCTTGCTGGGGGTGGGCAGCAGGGGGGCTTACGAAGCAGGGGAAGGCCCTCAGCCCACCACAAGGTCCCCCCGTGGACCCCCACTCAGCCCTTACCCTGAGCCAGGAAGCAGGTACGCTGTGGAGCCGCTAAGCCCTCACTGGCATGTGACCAGGTCCCCCAGCCAGGAAGTCAGGGGTGTGATGTGCACCCCTATTCCTGGTCAGAGTGGTGTGCTGAGGGTGCACTGACACAGCCTGCTGGCTCCTGGCCACGCCAGCTGTCCCAGGACCCTGCAAGGTACCAGAGGGCCCAGCCGCCTGGCAGAGGTAGGAAAAGCGGCATATAAGGGTCAAGCTGAAAAAGAAAATGGGGGCTTACACCCTAGTTCAGTGTCTGGTTAAAACTGCAGTCTTACTTCCCCCTCTGACTGACTTGGGCGGAGCTGCAGAGCCTAAGCCCAGGGCCCCGCCACAGCTGACTTAAACTGCAGGGACCCTCAGGGGCCGCCACAGGAGCAGATATAGAAGCCAGAGCCTCCCCATAGTTCAGTTCAGGCTTTGGATCCGGAATCCCCTGGACTAGCAGATCTGCGAAATAAAGGTTAAGCTTTCCTCCCTCAGAGCTGGCTGGTGGTTCTCCGTGCATTCTGCCACAACATTGGGTGCATTGGCCGAGAAAGGTCAGTGGAGCTGGCTCTTAGGCCACTGCTGACAAGAGCGGACTTCGGGGCACTCGCTTCGGGCTCTGGGACCCAAGGAAGGCGCCTCCGGTTCCTGAATTCATGGGGCCCGGGCCGGAGGGACTGCGGTGACTCCGCGCTCAGGTGGACCCAAAAGAGCAAAAGAGGCAGGAACACCTTTCTGGGACTTCCTGGAGGGAAGTCAGAATCAGACGTCTGAACCTGAAGTTTTCCCCGGGAAACGGGTCCGAGTTCTGGCCTGTCCTATGGACAGAAGGGGTAGCTGGCCCCTCCCTAGGTACCTGTTGACCTCAGGAGAGCTCGGATCCTCTAGTGCAGTGGTTGGCAAACTCATTAGTCAACAGAGCCAAATATCAACAGTGCAACAATTGAAATTTCTGTTGAGAGCCAAATTTTTTAAACTTAAACTATATAGGTAGGTACACTGTTATTAACTTAATTAGGGTACTCCTAAGGCTTAGGAAGAGCCACACTCAAGGGGCCAAAGAGCCCCATGTGGCTCTCGAGCTGCAGTTTGCCGACCACGGCTCTGGAGGAACGGCTTCTGGACGGTATTCACCGTCTCTGGGACTTCCCAGGAGGGAAGTCAAAGCTCAGACTGGCTAAGGGTCTGAGTCTGGCCGCCTTTGAAAAAGGCAGAAGAGAAGGAAAGGAAAAGGCACCCATTAACTGAGGTCCTGACCTGGAAAAAGCCTTCACGACCATAAAGGCAAAGCTCACTGAGGCGCCTGCTCTAGGGCTCCCAGATGTGATGTGGGACTTTACAACGGGGTAGCCCTAGGAGTTCTGATTCAGCAGTTGGGACCTTGGCCGAAGCCAGTAGCCTACCTCTCCAATCAGGTTGACCTGGTTGTTGGGTGGCCCCCATGCCTCAGGGCCTTTGCAGCCACAGCCTTATTCGTCAAAAAGGCAGACAAGCTCACTCTGGGGCAGAACTTAAATGTCAAAGTGCCTCATGCCGTTGTCACCCTATGGAAGCTAAGGGGCAGCCTTGGCTGACTCATGCTCGGATGACTCAATACCAAGGGCTCCTAAGTGAAGATCCACGAATGAGATTAGAGGCAGTAAGAACTCTTAATCCTGCCACTTTCCTACCATCGCAGAGGGAACCCTGAGCATGATTGTCTGGAAGTCCTAGAGGAGGTGTACTCCAGCCGGCCGATCTAACAGACAGGCCTCTACAGAATCCGGACTTAGTATTGTTCACGGATGGCAGTAACTTCCTAGATGAAGGGAAAAGACGAGCCGGGTATGCAGTGGTATCAAACTTTGAGATAATAGAGACACAGGCCCTGCCTGAAGGAGGGTCAGCACAGAGGGCAGAACTTTGGGCCCTAGTCAGAGCATTAAAACTCCGTAAGGATAAGTGCACTAACATCTACACTGACTCGCGCTATTCCTTCACTCCCCGTATCCATGGGGCCATATACAAGGAAAGGGGACTCGTGATGGCCGGAGGAAAAGGAATCAAAAATCAGAATGAGGAGAAACCAAGATGGCGGCATAGGTAAACACCGGAGTTTGCTGCCTCGCACAACCACTTCAAAAATACAACTAAAAGACGAAACGGACATCACCCAGAACCACAGGAAGGCTGGCTGAGTGGAAATTCTACAACTAGAAGGAAAGAGAAAAGCATACCGAGACTCAGAGGAGGTGTGGTGCGGAAGTAAAATACTAAGGTACAGAGGCGCATGCGGAGC